ACACAAAAACATTAATTCAAAAGGATACCTGCACCCCTATATGTATTGCAGCACTATTTATAATAGGTAAGATAGAGAAAATAGATGACTGGATTAAGATGTGGTGTATATACACAATGGAATACTATTTGGCAATCAAAAATATAACCTCATGCCATTTGCAGCAACATGGCTGGCGCTAGAAGGGATTATGCTCAGTGAAATAAGCCAGAAGGAAAAAGAAAAATATCAAATGGTTTCACTTCTAGGAGGAATACAGGGGAAGCAAATAAGGGATGGGGGGGGTAATAATAACAAGAAAATATTTGCCAGGCAACTATAAATCAGACACATTCTGCAGGGGAGGGAGAGGGAGTGGGATCAGAACAGGGCCGGGAAGAACTCAAGGGATTATGGCTATGGTGCCCCGGTGAGTTGGTGGTGGGAATTCTATGGGGACTCCTCTCTGAGAGGAGAAAGCAAACATTCTACAAAAATGAACAATGATGTAAGGTATATATAAATAAATAAATTATAATTAAAAAAATTAAAAAGGGGCCTCCCTAGTGGCCCAAGGAGTTAAGCGTCAACACTACGAAGCAATCTACAGCTACTATGGCACGAGTTTGATTCCCGGCCAGGGAGGTGACCCACATGGCGCAGCAGACCTCTCCTGTCTCACCCGCTGCTCCCCTCAGCAGTGCATTTCAGTGGATCTACCTGTTCTACTCCCCACTCACCTCTGGCCTATACCCCAGCTCTTGTATGGATAAATAAATAAATCTTAAAAAAAATTTAAAAAGAAAGTTAACGGGTTTTTTTTTAAAAAACCTTAGTTATATTTTATTTGCATACTTTCTGTGGTAAAATATATGTAATAAAATTTACCCTTTAAAAACCTTTCTAAATGTGTCATTTACTGGCAATAACTACATTCACAATACTGTGCAACTATCACCACAATCTATCTCTAGAACCTTTTTATCACCCCAAACTGAAACCCTGTACCCCTTAAATACTAACCCCTCATGTCCCCTCTACCAGCCCTGGGCAACCACCGTTCCTTTCTGGCTCTATGAGTTTAACAACCCTAGGTTGTTAACCCTCAAACTAGTGGAACCATTCAGTATTTGTCCTTTTGGGAGTGACTTATTTCACTCGGCAAAATGTCTTTAAGGCTCATCCCTATTGTAACATGTGGCAGAATTTCTTTTTACTGCTGAATACTATTCCATGGTATGGTTATACTACATTGTGTTCATCTATTCATCTGTCAATGATTACTTGAGTTGTTTTCACCTTTCGGTGTTGTGAATAATGCTACTATGAATATGGGGGTGCAAATATCTATTTGAGCCCCTGCTTTCAATTCTTTTGGGCATATACTCAGAAGTGGAATTGCTGGATCATATGTTAAGTTTATGTTACCTTTCTGAGGAATCACCATACTGTTTTCCCAAAATCTTAGTTTGTTTTTTTTTTTAAAGATTTATTTATTTATGCATCCAAGAACTGGGGTGCAGGCCAGAGTTCCGGGGGCGGGGGTGAGAGGATTCACCACAGAAAGAGTGGGGAACAGAACAGGCCAACTGACTGAAATACACTGCTGAGGGGAGCAGCGGGCAAGACAGGAGAGGTCTGCTGCGCCATGTGGGTTGTTCCCTGGCTGGGCGGGGGAGGGGGGCGAACTTGTGCTGCAGAGTCTGTAGATAGCTGTGCTTAACCCCTTGCGCCACCAGGGAGGCCTCCAAAATCTTAGTTTTAATAATAATAATCACTGTCAGCTTCTGGACCACTGTGGTAAGCCCTTTGCACACTTTCTTTCAAAGTGCAAGGTAAATGTTGTTCTCATTTTTCAACAGATGAGTTGACTTGCTCAATATCACACAATTAGTTGGGTGGATAAAGTCAGCACAGGCAGATCACATAGAAAGGCAAATGGTTACAAGTCCAGTTTAACAAGCACAAATTCAGTTCAAGAAGTTGATGCTACAGAGCATAGTTATGAATGGAAAGTCTCCTAACAGTAAATGGTGAAGCAAAGTTTGAAGATAGGCCACAATCAGGTATCTAGTGGGCAGTGGGAGAACGAGGGGGCTGCCGAGGTAGCTACAACCTCACCTTAAACTGGGCATCTGTGTGTGATTCTCTCGTCTGAGCTTGCCAGGGGCTCCGCACAGCATGCCTATTAGCCAGAGGCTTTTCAAGTGTTGTTGGCTCGAATGGCAGCGTGGCTTGTACTGACTTGACCACAGCGGAGCTATGTCTTGCTCTTTGCCCTCAGAACTGCCCCCTCTGGGTTACTTGGAATTGGGTCAGAGTCAGCGAAGCCAGCTAGAACAGGGCATGTGCTACCTCTAAAATCCAAAATGGCACCAGCCTTTGTGCTGGTAGGTGGTATGAGGTGTTACAACTTGTCTTTCACTTTGGAAGTACAGCCCACAGGCAGAAATTTCTGTAAGTGAGTAGTGAATCAAATTTTTTTTTAAAGATTTATTTATTTATTTATACAAGCACTGGGTACAGTCAGAAGCGTGGGAGGGTGAGAGAATTCACCAGAGCCAGAGCGGGGAACAGAACAGGCAGACTGACAAAATACACTGCTGAGGGGAGCAGCGGGCGGCAGGAGAGGTCTGCGCGCCATATGGGGCCCTCTTCGGGCAGCCGGGGATCGAGCCAGGCTGCAGAGGCTGCGGGCAGCTTCGCAGCCCATCGCTCAACCGCTGCGCCACCAGGGGAGGCCCCTGAATGAAATTTTGAGGAAGTGATCAGAAAGGTGAGTGATGGGAGAAAATGGCATTCGAGGCAGAGTGAGGGCAGACACTGTGACACAAACAGGCGGAACTAAGGCCAGATTGACTCCATTTTCCCAGGCTACACAAACCTCATCTAACTTTTTTTTTTTAAAGATTTATTTATTTAGGGCCTCCCCTGGTGGCGCAGCGGTTGAGCGCTGGGCTGCAAGACTGCCTGCAGCCTCTGCAGCGCCGGTTCTTTCCCCGGCCTTCAGCGAGTGTCCCACACACACAAAAAAAAATTTATTTATGCATACAAGATCTGGGGTACAGGCCAGAGGTGCGGGGGGTGAGAGGATTCACAAGAGACGGAGCTGGGAACAGAACAGGCAGACTGACTGAAATACACTGGTGAGGAGAGACAGGAGAGGTCTGCTGCGCCATGTGGGTTTCTCCCTGGCCAGCCGGGGATCAAACTTGTGCTGCAGAGGCTGTGGATTGCTTCATAGTGCGGTGCTTAACCCCTTGCGCCACCAAGGAGGCCTCATCTAACTTTTTTCTAAGACTTGCTGTCACAGACACTACAAAAACCTATGTGCAAATGGAACCACTGGAATACATGCAGAAGCAACTAAACTTGAACCGAATTCCAGGCTGGTCAGAGCCAAGAAACAGCAGAAGAGTGGGTACTACCCCCAGGGGAGGGCCCCACCAACGGAAATTCAGAACTCCAGTTATCCCAAGAAAAGCCTCTTCATGCTTCATGTATCAACTGCCTTGTAGCTAGCCAATGAACTTCAGACAGGTTCACATTTCTTTGCCTTTGGCCTGCTCCTTAGCCAATAAAATATAACTCCTTTGTTCTCTCTCTCTCTTTTTTAAAGATTTATTTATTCATGCGTACAGAACGGGACACAGGCCAGAGGTGCAGGAGGGTGAGAGGACTCACCAGAGACAGTGGGGAACAGAACAGGCAGACTGACTGAAATACACTGCTGAGAGGAGCAGCGGGCGAGCCGGGAGAGTATGCCTCGCCATGTGGGCATCTCGCCAGCTGGCTGGGATCGAACCTGCGCTGTAGAGGCTGTGGACAGCTTCACAGCACTGCGCTCAACCACCTGCGCCACCAGGGAGGCCCTAACTCCTTTGTTCTCAACCCCTGCCCCCACAAGACCTGTGTAGTCTCATTCTCTTTCTTTTTTTTTTAAAAAAAGATTTATTTATTTATGCATACGACAGCTGAGGTGTAGGCCAGAGTTTTGGGGGGTGAGATGATTCACCAGAGTGGGGGACAAAACAGGCAGATTGAAATACACTGCTGAGGGGAGCAGAGGGCAAGACAGGAGAGGTCTGCTGCGCCATGTGGGTAGCTCTCTGGTGGGGGATGGAACTCCTGCTGCAGTGGCTGCGGACAGCTTCATAGTGCTGAGACTTAACCCCTTGCGCCACCCGGGGAGTCCCTCATTCTCTTTCTTTCTTTCTTTCTTTTTTGCTGGACCCTCGCAGGCAGCCCTGGAACCAACCGGCGCTGCAGAGGCTTCGGGCAGCCTCGCAGCCCAGCGCTCAGCCGCTGCGCCACCAGGGGAGGCCCCCTCATTCTCTTTCTTAACCAGGGAAGCAGATTCAAGTTTTTTTCCTGCCTTCTTGCCAGTCAATTTGCAATAAACCTTCTTTCTTTTCTGAAAACCTGATGTCATAGTATCAGCCTCTGTGCACATTGGGTAACGAGCCCATTTTTTGGCAACACAAGCAAATGACCTACAATTTACCAAGTTGAGGTATGAAGAGAGAGCAAAGAGCAAAGGTCAGGGGGCAAAGGCTGGAGACAGAGGAGGAAAGGCAGGAGGTGGCAGAACAGGACTCGCGAACTACCGTCTGCATTCTCTATGAGTCCCCTTCTGGGCGTGTGTGTCGGGGGAACCCAAGACCACCCCCAAGTTCGATAGTTTACTGAGGGGGCTCATGGAACTCTGCACAAGGTTGTACTTGTGGCTAAAATTTATCACAGCAACAGGAAACAAAACACAACCACACAGGGAAGAGGGACATCGGGGGAACTCCAGGAAGCACCAGGCCCACGCTTCCCCTCCCCGTGGGGTCACACAGGACGTGCCGGCTGCCCCCAGCCCCCGTGGAGTTCTGACAACGCAGGTAAAGTGCTGTTTACCAGGGGCGCTCCTTAGAGACTCAGTGCCCCGGGGTTTTCACTGGGAGCTGGTCACATCAATTACCGAAATTCCAATTCCTAGAAGGAAAGTAGATGTTTAGCATAAACCACATTGTTTAATACCCAAAAATTATGAGTAAGGAAAATAGCGATTTGGAGTGATGACTGAATCCTCACAGTTAATGTGAGATAAATTTTCAAGGGGGCAAAGTTTTCCCCTGAGGTGACCCCCTACTTTGAGGGATGCATAGGAGTAGGGATCTGCCCTCCCGCTTACACCTAAAGACTAGACTGGTATGGGGCTTCCCTGGTGGCACAAGGGGTTAAGATACCACCTATGAAGCTATCAGCAACCACTGCAGCACGAGTTCGATCCCCAACCAGGGAGCTACCCACATGGTGCAGCGGACCTCTCCTGTCTCGCCCGCTGCTCCCCTCAGCAGTGTATTTCAGTCAGTCTGCCTGTTCTGCTCCCCACTCTGTCTCTGGTGAATTCTCTCACCCCCCACACTTCTGACCTGTACCCCAGTTCTTGTACGCATAAATAAATCTTATATAAAAAAAAAAGACTAGACTGGTGTGAAGGCGGAGATGAGGTGGAGGTGGTGGCTGCTTTCTGAGGAAGTACCCAGTCTGAGACCTCACAGAGCTATTTGGGACTCGCTTGTCTTTGTTGGAAACAAAAACAAAGGAACCCCCCCTCCCCCGCCTAGTTTGCAGAGTCTAGGCACAGCAACTCACCCTTGTCAGGTGGGGATGGGGACGGGTGGGAACTTTCCTGAAATCTAGGTCCTCAGCGGGCCTTTCTAACAACAGGCGGTCGGGGATCAGGTTAACCTTCTGTACGACACGCGTGATGCAGAACTGCTCACGTGGCCCATGGGATGTGTGCAAGCTGCTCGTGGCAGGGCACTTGCTGGTCGCTGGGGTGCCCAGGCAATCTGGGCATCTCGAGGGGGCTGTGGATGGGTGTAGCGTGGTGGAATACCATGCAGCAGCCGAAGCCACGGATTCTATGTCTGTGTAGTAACAGGAATGGATCTGAAAAAAGTATTGAGAAAAAAGAGACAAGACGAACTACCTAACTCAGTACCATGAATGTTAATTTAAAATATACTGATACAAAAATAGGTGTGTACAGGTGCCTTTATATGAATTTCAGAACGAGGAAGCTGTGAGAAATCTGGGAGCGACTTCTCCAATCACCCTGGAAGAGGTGGTGATGGCAATGGGGCACGAGCCGCATCTGGAACACTGGTCACGATCTCTCAGAGGTTGCGCGCTGGTTGCACAGGTGTTTTTGCTGCATGAAAATGGATCCAGCTGTGCAAGAACGATGTGTGCATGCTACATGGCTATGAAATTGACACTGAAACTAAAAATACATTCATGAAAAACAGCAATATCCATTTTGCAAGAGCATCTATGAAGGAAAAGATGTACATTGAAATGATCATCTATGGGGGAGGGAAGTGAGAGTAGGGAACTGAGATCTCTCTCTCTCTCTCTCTCTCTCTCTCTCTCACACACACACACACTCACACACACATGCACAACAGGCCATACATGGATCAGTGTTGTTAATATGCCACCGTGGGGGCCAGATCAGGCCACCTCCTGATGTGCCAAAGCAGCATGTTGATTATTTTGAATTAAAGAGTCATTGAATGAATGAGTGATAGCCTGAACTTCCCTTCTGCTAAAAGCAGTTTTTTCTGACCCTCCTCCCCTCTGTACCTCCTGAAATCAGGAAATGGGAGCAGTGTCTTCTCTTCTTTTTTATTTTTTTAAAGATTTATTTATTTATGCATACAAGAGCTGGGGTATAGGTCAGAGATGCTGGGGGAGTGGTGAGAGGATTCACCAGAGACAGAGTGGGGAGCAGAACAGGCAGACTGACTGAAATACACTGCTGAGGGGAGCAGCGGGCAAGACAGGAGAGGTCTGCTGTGCCATGTGGGTTGCTCCCTGGCCGGCTGGGATCAAAATCATGCTGCAGAGGCTGCGGATTGCTTCATAGTGTGGTGCTTAACCCTTGCGCCACCAGGGAGGCCCCTGTCTTCTCTTCTTGCAGTCTCTTCTTACACTGAGTTGGATACATGCTGATGGTTACAACGGGAAGGGAAAGCCGGGTTAAAAAAAAAAAGCTCACTCAGTTGTCTGAAACTTCCAAGAATTTCTTTGTCCTGTCTGTTCTTCACAGATTGATTCCTTCTTTGTCTAAAAGCTTTATAAACTGTTTTTTTTTTAAATAGAGGCATGTTTTATTTATTTATTTATTTGTTTGTTTGTTTGTTTATACATGCACTGGGTACAGTCAGAATCGCGGGAGGGTGAGAGAATTCACCAGAGCCAGAGCGGGGAGCAGAGCAGGCAGAAGGACCGAAGTACACTGCTGAGGGGAGCAGCGGGCGGCAGGAGAAGTCTGCACGCCATGTGGGACCCTCCTCCGGTGGCCGGGGAGCAGCCGGGGATCGAACCGGCGCTGCAGAGGCCGCGGGCAGCTTCACAACCCAGTGCTCAACCGCTGCGCCACCAGGGAGGCCCTAAAAGCTTTATAAACTGTTTTTGGACATTCGCTGGCTTCCATATTTTATGGGCCCTGTGTGCACAAAATTGAATTGTCTTTTTTTTAAGATTTATTTATTTATGCATACAAGATCTGGGGTACAGGCCAGAGGTGCGGGGGTGAGAGGATTCACCAGAGACAGAGAACAGAACAGGCAGACTGACTGAAATACACTGCTGAGGGGAGCAGCCGGGAGACAGGAGAGGGCTGCTGCACCATGTGGGTAGGGACCGGGGATTGAACTCGTGCTGCAGAGGCTGAGGATAGCTTCACAGTGCTGTGCTTAACCCCTGCACCGCCAGGGAGACCCTGAATGGTCTTTTTTCTTGCCACTCTCACTCTTGTCAATTTAATGTTGGCCCGGCCAAAGGAACCAAAGGAAGTGTGGGGGGGAGTCGTGTACCCCCCACCCCTGCAATTTTCCCCACAGTAACAGGTGTAATTTGACTTTCTGCTCCTGGGGTTAAAAGCAAAGGACCAACATGAAAAAATATTACTGTTCTCTCTCCATTCAGCGACACCCACTGTGGAAGGTGATTCCTTTGTGGTGTTTTTGAGTCTGTATTTGTCTCTCCAGCTTTCTAAGAGGGTTGTAACCCACCTGCACACGCTTGCTTTCCAACTCAGAAGCCCCCCCACACCCAGCTTTGGTCATACAGAGGCTGCTCAGGTCTACACAGCTCGCTGAGTGCGCTAGTGAGAAGGAGAGACGAATTCTGTTCAGATGTCTGAAAAGACTGTGAGGAGCTCACACTTGGGCCTCCCTGGTGGCCTCCCTGGTGGCACAAGGGGTTAAGTCTCAGCACAGTTTGATCTCCTACCCCCCAGGGAGCAGCAGACCTCTCCTGCTTGCCGGCTGCTCCCCTCAGCAGTGTATTTCAGTAGATCTGCCTGTCCTGCTCCCCACTCTGTCTCTGGTGAATCCTCTCACCCTCCCGCACCTCTGCCCTACACCCCAGTTTCTGTATGCATAAATAAATAAATCTTTAAAAAATAAAAAAAGAGCTCACACTTAAGCCGCAGCAGAATCCACGGGAGGGCTTTTTAAAGCAGAGTGCTGGCCCCTACCGCAGAGGTCCTGACTTGGTAGAGCAGGGGTGGGGCCCAAGAATGTGCATTTCTAGCAAGTTTCCTGCTGCTGCTGCTGCTGTTGCTCCTGCTGTTGGCCCCAGAAATTCGCCTTTAGCAGCACTGAAAGCTCCAAAGGGGGAGAAGCAGTCATTTCTGCTTAACACACTCTCCTTCCCCAGGGCTTCCTGTAGGCTTCAGAACAAACTTCAGCCCTGGCTGCTATCTAGGTGGTGTTGCCTGAGAAGGGAAGCAGATCCCACAGACAAAGGAGGAAGGTTTACAAAGAGGGAGATAAGTGCAGGGGTCAGCGCACAACTCGTGCCACAGCCCCGTCTTCCATCCAGGTGAAAGATGGGATGGTCTGAGCTTCCAGCTGAGGAAATCGAGCCATAGTCAAGTTCACCAAGGAAATGTGAGTACATGTCTAAGCAGAAACCTCTGTCACTACTTATGTGATGACCCTGCTCGAAGAAAGAATGTGTCACAGAAGGGAGTCTAGACAGGGCTTCCTAACATTTTTACACACAAAAGTCATATTTGCATTATTCATTTGAGAGTGCCTGTGAGGAGCTTAGTTAAAAAAGAAAAAAACCTTTCCTTTATAGAGTACAATATAATGATATAAAACAAAGAATTTGTATAGCATTGTAATAAACTTACTATACAATGTACAGCCATCCTTTCTTGGGGCAGGCCTGGGGCCTATTGCCAGCAGCTAGAGACCCACAGCACTGGCTGGGAAGCTCTGCTCCAGAGCCCAGGGACCCAAAGAGAGGAACTTGGTAATGTTCCACCCGCTGGAGGGAAAGAGACAGGCCTGGCTGACTACACTGGCGGTGTATGAGTTAATGATGGCTGTGTAACAAAACTTAGCAGGATAAAAGCTTGCTGAGCACTTACTATCTTACATCATGTCTCTGAGCCTTTGCACAGGCCTAGAATGCTGTCCCCTTGGCCTCTGTGCAAAAGACTCCATCTGTTTCTTGAAAACCCAACTCAGACTATGTGACCCCTGGGAAGCCGTAGGAGACACTTTGGGAGACCCGCTCAGATCCCCTGAGATCTCTCTCTTTTTTAAAAGATTTATTTATGCATACAAGAGCTGGGGTACAGGCCAGAGGTGTGTGTGTGTGGGGTGAGAGGATTCACCAGAGACAGAGTGGGGAACAGAGCAGGCAGACTGACTGAGGTACACTGCTGGGGGGAGCAGCAGGCGAGGCAGGGGAGGTCTGCTGCACCATGTGGGTTGCTCCCTGGCTGGCTGGGGATCGAACTCGTATTGCAGAGGTTGCGGACAGCTTCATGGGTTGCGTCTTAACCCCCTGCGCCACCAGGGAGCCCCCCCCCCCGAGATTTCTTTAACCTGCTCCAAGAGCGTGCTGCTAATGGGCCACACCTGCAGCCTTCACCGTGGCCCTTAGGTGATTGGGGCCACTTAGGGTGGAGCTTCCCAGAGTGGGGCATCTTTAAGGACTGACTGGTGTTAGGGGCAGAATGTAGGTCCTTTCCCTGTCCTGGGGCAGACGGGATCTGAGGTAAGATGTGTGCTCCAGGGCTGCCCACCGGTTCAGGCTGAAGCTAGACTTCTGAAAGCAAGGCCTCGCTGGGTTGCTTTTCCTCTCCTCCCC